GAGGTAACCATTTGAAGTCTAGTTACTTAAAGGTCATTTAAGTCATTTTTGTAAAAAAACTGTATTATGTACGAAATTTTTCTGCCTGTCTTAGTGAGTTCGATTCCTGGACCAGGCAAAATTTTATAGGGTTTTTCTGAAAGGAAAAATTGCCTAAGCTACTCCTTATATAGACAGCTACCTGGTAGTAAAATATTATCAAAATCAGTTCAGCCGTTTTGTGGATTACCCGGAACCAACAGACAGACAGAAAGACAAAAAATATTGAAACTGGTAGTCAGGCATAGTTATCGTGCAAATAACCGTGTGAGCATGAAAGAAACCTATTATTTAGACATTACAAACAGACACTTCAATTTTATTTATTTGTATAGATTATTGTATCATGAAGAATTCTTTTAGATAATAATAAAACAGACAAAATAAGTTAGAACTCTAGAAAGTCTTAGCAGCCTCAATGATATTTCATGAGACGTTGTTCATATCCGACTGCGCCAGGAAGACTTTGTTCCTTTCAAACGTATATATACTCGTATGTGTATTTCTTTCTTTGACATTCTCTGTAGACTAAACGAATTGATGGGTCTTGGCGTTTGATATGTCATTAGATAGAGAATGACACTGGATATATGCAAATTACAAAAAAATAAAATGGCGGATTAGTGATTTTCACAAATAGGGTATAACCAATAATAGTCCCATAAATGTCTTACACAAACATGGGCAACTTAGATATTCAAATGTAATTTGGAACGAGAAATGCTAAAATATATATAAAATGCAATTAAGTTTATGAATTTAAGTATACGATTTTCATGCTGTCGGTTTTTTTTTGTTTTTCCAATAAATAATTTGATGTCTTATGCATGCACTATGTTCTTACGGCACCTTTTAGCCACGGCTTTACCAACGATAATCTCAAATTTATTAATCAGTATCAGTATATAATCTAGTATTTTTTCTGTTATATTTAAGCGTTGTTCTATCATCATCGTCGTGGTTCAGTAACAAATATATATTCAAACTTACGCATTTATAATAGTAATTACATCCGTACAGTTTTCGTTAAACAATTATTAACATCATTTCATATTTATACACCCTACCATAAATAAATGTATGTACAACCTTTATTTTAAATTCCGGAATTAGCACTCGGCCTTTACCGTCTAACGGTAGTATGCAAACTGTATATTATATGTATTTATATTACAAGTGAGTCACACGCATGAGCCACAGGTTGTGGAATTTCTGTTTGTTTTGTTTTTGTACTTCAGGTTGATGACTCGATCGATCGGATGGCTCCTGATCACTTTTACAACAATTTTCGAACTGCAGAGCACTTCCAAACGAGTTGCAATATCGGTTTAATTTAAGTTTCTGAGAATTTAAGGATGAGAGTTTTCCTTTTACAGTTGAATAGCTCGTATATTAGAAAAGTACATCCATACTTCTATACTTACCTATATTATAAAATATGAAAGTGTGTTTGTTACGCTTTCACGCCTAAATCACTAAACCGATTTAAAAAATTCTAAAATCAACGTAAAGCTACATAAGCAGCAAGTAACATAGGCTATTTTCTACCGCGAATACTTTTTAAAGACAACACACACACACAGAGAACACTTTATAAAGACAGTATCTATTTTGGCCTATATGTATACACAATATATTATCCAATTCGTGTCTGCTATCATGAGTACTTGGTTAAATTTTTATTATTACGACTTTTACTTCAAACTTGACTGGAGCACGAGGTTAACAGGATTTTACAAAGAACGGTTACATTCCCAAGGATGCTTGACGTCAGACCGACGGCTGGCCATAAAAGAAAAACACCAAAACTACTTTTTAATGAAATGAAGGACCGCCTGAAAAAAGATATAATAGAAATAGACAAATTAATAATTTGTCGTATGATAGAGGAGAAAGAAAGAAGAAAATTCATTGCACCGACTTCAAATAAATTTGGCCAAAGGATAATACGGTGATCATACATACGTTATAATTATCAGATGATAAAAATTCATGCATAAAGGTCTATCGATATGCACTGTATAATATCTTAAACCCTAAAGGGATATACATACATAAATGAAATAGTTTACATGATTGGCGAAGGTCATGAGTTCGATTCGGTTCGCACAATATTTGTCCTGGGTGGGCCAGGATAAAGCACTATCATTTCAGTGCTTGGGTGTTACTTATCTATTATATTTTATGTATGTATTTAGAAATATAAAATTATGTTTATCAGCAGGCTGGTTACTGTAGTACAGGCTCTGCCTAGTTTTGCTGTGTGTGAGATGTGTTAAGTTAATATTAATTTAAACACTATGGGAATATTATGAAACTTCTATATTCGCGAGAAGAATTAAGTACTTTAAATAAAACAAATACCTAACAATGTTGAGGCTATCTTGCACCGTATCCTTATAGTATCGTGTTACATAAAGCATGGTAGTTGGAATGCTAAATCAACAGAAATATTGAAGTGGCTTGTTGTAGAATCAGTGTGGACTTTGAACCATATAAATGCAAACAGGTGTATTGTACTTTGCTTTAGATAAAAGATCTTCAGAAGCAGAAGCAGAACGTCACGGTGATTGCTTTCGTCGCTGCACACACATTTAACATCAACTAGCTTTTGAAAGCAAGCGCGTTTATGTGAAATAAAACACAATTTATAGGTTGAAGAGCCATGCTTCATTCCAAATGGCCTGGCTCCACCGTAGTGATGTGGTATCAGTCTCAAAGTTTTTTTGTTTTTCAGCGAGTTAGTGAGGTTACCTTCATCATCATGACATCAACAGCCTTTAAAAATCCACTGCTGGACATAGGAATTTCTTGGCCTTGGAAGTTTTGGCCTACTATATGTACTGTGTTGGCCGGGTGGCGCCCCGTGCTGGTTTTGCTACCATGGAGGCGCTCCAGCCGGTTACCATCGAGTAGCTGGGCGGCAGCATGGGACTCTTTCCTTCTGACTGACGCAGGTTCTTTCCGGGCACGGCTGCTTCGGGAAGTACCTGCCATCGGTCGCTAAGAGCGAATTGAGTCCCGCCTGAAACCACTGGGATTGCAGTGAGAACTTGGCTAAGCACACGCTGGGAATTTGCCCGGTTTGGGCATCGCAGCGTCGGGTCCTCATTGCAGTCATCTTTCGCTATCGGCCGTCATACGCTCCATGGCCGGTATTGACAGTTGTTTTACCGTGGTCGCATCCTTCTGCGAAGACGTCATCAGAGGGCCCGGGAGGATGATCTCCACTTAGACCCAATTTGCCGCCAACGAACCGGCCTGAGTGTGGCTGCGGGTGGACGGGACGGCTTTTCCCCTCCACCCGCCAAACAGCCAGGCGCGAGGAGGCGACGACTGCGTGAAAAAAAGGGTATGTGACACGTTTTCCTTCTCTTTGTAGTGCTGTTGTCCTGCGTACTTTACTCCCTTAGTCGGCTCTTACGACACTCACGGAATGAATAGGGGTGGTGACATTCCGAATTCTTAATCCGTCACCACATGGAATTAGGTTAGGAGGTTCCCTCAACTTACCAATATATGGTACTTTAAGAAAGCTAAAAATAAAAAATCGTACGATTTTAATATTGAACAGTTTCGTTTCGTATTCCCTATATTTCATATAACTACTGTGTCTGCAAGACACAATTTGTCAATTATCGAACAAAAGCTTTCCTTATTGTTAAAGTTAAGAAGCCAAAAATCGACCTAAGTGGCGTGCAATGAGAGGCCTATGTCCATGAGTGGTTGCGACTGATGATAATGATGAAGGGTTAAAGTTCTCCACCAATCGCGGTAATTAAAAACTAAAATAACAAAAATAAAACACAGTAATCATATACAATCTATTATTTTAATTAAGATAAAAATACTGAATAATTATTATATTTAAGTCGAACTTACTTTACAAATGTTTAAATACTATTTACAAAGTTCTATAAATATTACTGTTCACAGCTCTGTTTACGTAGTCTAATCTATATCATATATACCTATATATTTGTGTATGTAACATAGTTTCATTCTTAAACCCTGTAAGCATACTTGAATGACACGATAAGGACAAAGTCCTCATAGGATTTCGTTGTTCTATTAAGTCCGTAGTTTTAGTTTTAAGTCTCTTCTATTAGTTTTTCAAATTTATAATGGTTTAAACTTCAACCAGAATTAGTTGAACTCTCATAGTATAGTCATGATATTGAGATGTTAACATAATACTACACCTTTACTTCTTTCTTACATCACATCCCTTTTATTCATGCTTATGTTGTGTTTCATTTATAAAAGCGTCATATAAATTGACGTTTTCAGTTTTATGTATTTGATCATAAAAAAGTACACGAAATCGAATGTATCAAGTAAAATAGGACGAGTCTCACTTGCGTATCTCGGGTTTCGGATCAAGTTGTATGTAGATATATATCTTGGAAATCGATTCTCGAAGATTATTTCATATGTCAAACAACTATGAAGTTAAAAAATAGCCTCTTATACATGTATAGACGCTGTAAATTTCTAAGCGCAACAAAAAATCTTGTCACAAAAATACAACAAAAAAATTCATGGCTTGTGATTTTTTTCCTGTGCCTTTGCTGTAAGAAAATGATTCATAAAAAAAAAACTCAAAAATACAAATGTTGCTTAGAAAAAAAATAACGATAAAAGTATATGTTACAAAAATGTACATCGAATACATATAATTTAAATTTGTTTGTTAAGAGTTTCAGAGGTTTTAAGGCTTGGGTCTACTACTTTAACACAATCCAAGTGCTGGTGACATTCAAACATTCAATAAAAATGTTTAAAACAATTAAGGTTACGTAATTAAATTAACTATAGGTAGATAATCCTCAGTTACTGTACAACGATGGAATTCTTTACCAATATTTCAAACTATTGAACCAGTTTCTTAATCATCTGTACCTGAGACACGATCATCCGACGAATTCTTTAATTAAAATAATTAAGTATTCACTATTCACTTAAATAAGTAATCTTAAACCAACCATCACAGATAAACTTAATAAAATAGTTCTAGTAGGTTGTGTATTTAACCCAGCAGAATGATGACCTGCACATTCTTTGTGTTTGTCCTCTGTAAGACACATAGCATAAGCCATTAAATGAGGAACAACATTCTGTTCGTAACTGGCTGTGAACAAGTGCTGCCAAGGTCCTGAAGCGTATACTGGAACGTCCTCTCCTCCATGTGTCTCTGAATCCAACGGCACTAGGCTCGGATATGAATAATCTAAATCTCCTGAAACATCGAAATAAAATAATGTAGTTTCATGTAGTAAGTACAATGCGTAAAAATTCTCCATTTGAAATGTAACAAATATTTTTAAAATCAAAATTTACTGAAAAGAATACTAAGTGTTAGAGTAGAGTAGCGGTGATGGGAGATTTAGTTGATTTATTACTTGAATCTTTAACAGGTAGAAACTATTTTCCGCTTCATTTATATACATATATTTTTCATACACGGGAATTAACGTGATCAGGTAAACGTTTCAGCCCTAAATTGATCTAAGTAGCGTGCAATGCGAGGCGCCTATGACCAGCAGTGGACTGGCTAGGCTGACTCATCATTTAACTCATCATCATCAGATAAGGAATTTAATGATATAATAATATAACGACTACGGCGGTTTAATAGTACTATATTCTTAATTGCTACAATAATAATAATGACTGCTTACTAGTTATGAAATTTTTATCTTTAGTCACGTCCAACCGAGTTCCATCTTCTCCTGTAGAGACAGCTTTGCCGTTGGCATAACTGATTGTCGTATAAGCTTTCCCATCTAGGGAATTGGCTGTATCAACAGTCCCCAATATATCGTTCCCTCTTGACGGGTAACCAGCTACAGTCATTGTGTGTGCGTGGTCGGCACTGACAACTATTAGTGTATCATCTTCGTTTGTTAAAGACCTTGCTTTTTTAACTGCTTTAGAGTACTCAACTGTTTCGTCTAGAGCTAAGTGTGCTAAGCTGTCGTGATGGGCGTGGTCTATTCTGCCACCTGAAAAGAGAGGGCAATAGTTCAGCATATGTTTAATTTTTTGTTATTTGATAAAGTTGTGCTATTTAATTGATTCTTTAAATTGCTGTACGGACAAGAATAGTTCTATTTGTTATTATAATGGATTAGCCTCAGATTTCATTAGCGTGTTCGCTGCCCACATAGTGGTTCAAAATATGAGTCAACGTTGCCTGTCAATGCAAAAAGACTAAAAAACTTGGGAATAGCTTAGGTGACATTAATATGAAGTTTCTTAGTCTGGCCGGAAAAAATAACGTTCAGATATGAATTTAAATGAATCTATGCTCTATGCATACATCAGAAAGGCGCATTTACTTTACAAACCTTAGAATCTTCACTTTTTCTTACCTTAGATAACATGACACGAAATCCGTGTCGGACGGTTTAATCGATGAGGTGTTAACTGAATGATTCATAATCTGTCTTTGAAACATATTTGTAATATTATTTGTTTAATCAAAACAACACTAACCAAAGCTACGTTCAAACAAATTCGTTGCAGCCATACGAACTATTTAAGTATGTTCTAAATTACGCCTTTGAAAGCATATTGTACATATATATGACATTTGAATTTATTTTGTTTATCAAAAGATTCATATATTTATTGGTTATTACCTAAAGCTGAAGGGTTTGTTTATTTGTTTGCTTGAACGTGCTAATCTTAGGTTCGAATTACGAGTAAAATAATAAGAAAATAATTACCTTCGACAAATAGAAAGTATCCTCGTTTATTTCTACTTAGCATCTTAATCGCCACTTCGACCATTTCTTCAAGAGTAGGTTGGTTTTTAGCCTTCAAATGATAATCCATGTGGTCATCGTGGAACAGCCCAAGTAAGTATTCTGGGAGGTCGTCTGAATTGAAAACCTGGTCAAAAAATCATCTGTTTATTTATGAACCTCAATATCCTATTATGTAAATAATTGCCTTTATTGATCACCCGGATCATTATTTTTGCTATTTACAAATAATAACTGCCAAAGTATTTTTTTACGTATCCGTGAATATAATATATATGTATTCACCGTAGAAGAACTATGCGTCGGCTCGACCGGAGTGCTACCACGGCCTCACAGAAAAATTAATAGCTCAGTATCGCATAAAACTAGCCAATGATAGCTAGGTAGTTAAGAGTTATGAAATCAACTAGTGCAGACATCAGCTTACCTTCATTAGGTCAGTTCTGTCAGTCACGTACTGATGTGTCGCGTTCATAGATAATTTGTCCACATGCCATAACTCGGTGAGGTCTATTCCATCTAGCCGTCTTCCCTTATTTTCACTGATTGGACTCGTTACATTCGGCAGGAGCTCTCTCCGTCCACCCCCCATAATCACCTGGAATATTGAATAATTTTATAAAATTTTGTTCGGCGGTTTAATTTCATAGATCTTGAGAATTCCAAATGTTGTGTATTATCACCTACTGGTACCTACTAGGTTTCCTATTTGGTTTAAGTATCATTTTACTTAATTGGGAATGATGGAATTCGATTTGAATATATCCTATATCGCGGGAGACTTCACAAACAACAATTTGTGGAACACACAAAGTGTCGTCCCATGTGGGGATCGGACCCACAACACTCAGCGTAGTAGTAAGCAGCGTGACGACCGCTTAAACCACTACGCCATCAGTGCAATTCATTGAACCCACCCACAAAGAAACATTATGCAGACATTATTCCAAGAAAAATTATTCAGGATCTATGTTTATCAGTACATTTATGCGTCATCATCATCATCATCAACAGCCCTTAACAGTCCACTGCTGAACATATGCCCCGCCTTAGAAAGGAGGTTTTGGCCTACTATACCACGTTGGCCAGACGGGTTGGGATAGGGTTTTTTTTAAGTTTTCCTTCTCTTTGCAGTTTTGATGTTCTGCATAGTTTACCCCCTGAGTCGGATCTTACGACACCCACGTTATGAATAGGGGTGGTGACACTCCGTATTCTTAATCCGTTACCACACGGATAATTTATGCGTCAAGATTAAATGAAATACCCACCTTATAATGCCTTCCAGGTGTGCTCATAATTAATTGCGAAGCGATATCCCGACAGCCCAAAGCTAGACACTCCGTAGGAACATCTGCGTCAGACTCCCAATTCCGTTCAGAACTATGAGCATACATGCCGGCTGGAGATGCATGCGTCACTCGTGTGGTTGTTACGAAACCTGAAAAGGAAGACGGATTTATAAGACTGGTCTCGTATTAAGAACTTGTGTAGTGATTTTTATGGAGTCTTTCTATAAATACAAAAATATCCCTTTAGATATAGCATGGTTTTCTAATCATGTACCAAGATGTACTAAAGAAATTTAATGCTAGTATTAGGTACGTAATTTATTTTAACTCTTCTAAACACATTCTTTGAGTCTTTCTGTAGGTATTTCGAATTACACGTCCCTTCGTTCGTGAAATCATTTTAAAATGCACACAAAATATTCTTTTCGCGAGTTTTATAACAAAAAACCGATTAAGTGAGTACAAAATTAATAAAAGTATAATTACCGCCATTTTGATTTTTTATTGTTGGACCAAGCTCAGTGATTGGTACCTACTTGTTGCTCAATAAAAACGTATCTAACATCTGATCTTCAACCATTATAATAATTAGCTCGGTTAAGTCCCTAAGACATAATAAACTATAACTATATTATATATAATTACACAACATATAGGTACATACAAAGTTACAACCTCTATCTAAATTTTTCCTCGCTTGGATTAAAAAAATGAAAGCTATAAATTTATTAAATATAAAAATTAAAAAAGAGACTAGTGCGACATCTAGTTACTTGACCAAGAACTACGACGTTGAATTGCGTTGCTCATGATTTAAATTAATAGTACAACTGATAACGTACAGATGTCGTTGCATAAATAACTCTAGTATCGGTTTACCAATGGACTTATTTAGGCGTATATAATAATTTATAGCATATATGAAAATAGATAGTATTTTCTCAAGAACCATAACATTAACTTTCCTATGGCAATATTTTACTGTGACCACAATACATTCTGATTTCAAACCAGGCAGAGCCTGTGCTATGGCTATCAGACTGCTGATAAACATATTTATCGACGGCCGGATGGCGTAGTGGTTTGTGGACTGCTATGCTAAAAGTCGCGGGTTCGATTCCGCTCAAGGTAAACACTTGTGTGCATAAACATTTGTTTGATTTGGTCTGGGTGTATCTATACACCTATATATATCTCGTCCGGGACATACAGACAGACCGCCTGCAGAACAGCCTAGTTATTGATAACCCCCCTTAGGACTTTTAATACAAACGTGGCTAAAGTCACTTCTCGTCTCACCTCAAACCTACTGTACTACTGTAAGGCTTTTAGTAGTACAGTAGGTTTAAGGTCCACTCTACCCAAAACAAATAAAGTAGAATGAAAAACGATCGTATTCATCACACAATATTTGTCCAAGATGGGCATTGAAACCACGATCTCCGGCTTAACCACTAAACCAACAGGCCTGTCAGTATAATGTACATAATGTACATCATAAAGGCAATACAATCTGAAATACACTTTATGGTATCGGTACAAGAGTCGCTATTTATTTAAGCTTTAAATTCTTCAGAGGTAATGGTGTGGGTCCGAGTAATTATTGTTATAAGTCCTGTCTTTTTTGTGTGTCTATTCTGTGTATAATACCTGTTGATAATACCCTGTACTGTCTTGTGCACTGTAACTTAACTCTGATTTATACGAGTATAAGTAAGGATTTTTAATTGGCTATCTGTTTTCTTGACTGCTTTTATTCTGATCATCATGGCTGTAAATCCATAGTATGTAATAAATGGTAGACCATTTATTACATACTAGTTTAGTATGTAGTTTAGTATGTAATAAATGGTCTACTGTTTCTTTTTAGGGTTCCGTACCCAAAGGGTAAAACGGGACCCTATGACTAACACTCAGCTTTCCGTCCGTCCGTCTGTGTGTCTGTCTGTCTGTCCGTCCATCACCAGGCTGTATCACATGAACCGTGATAGTTAGACAGTTGAATTTTACAGATGATGTATTTCTGTTGCCGCTATAACAAAAAATACTAAAAACAGAATAAAATAAATATTTAAGGGTGGGTTCCCATATTGATTTTTTTGCCGCTTTTATAGATTGTCTCGTGGTGCGCGAGTCCGACTCGCACTTGGCCGGTTTTTTATTACGAGTATATTCTGTTGTATTGTTCTTTATTGGTTTATACTACATATTAGATAGGTAGGTACTTCTAAAACCCTCATACATACATTAGAGTCTATGAGTCATAAGAATCATACTGACTTTCTTCTTTTAGGTTTGTTTTAATGTTCAATTGTCCTATGTGTATATATGGTACTATAACATATATAAATATATCATGTATATATGTGGTGCCGTCATTACGCGAATTGACGCGTCAATTCGCGTCATTGTCATAGATAACAATGAGCAATTATATTAAAGGATAATCATTAAAAAAACAGTAAATTGAAAAAAAAAATTCTTTACCTTCCACTTATACAAGTATCATTTTAATAAATTATTGGTGAAAACATCCACTACACCAACAAGCACATCCATATGCTGAGCTTGTTGATCTATAATTCTAGAGATTAGTGATACTATTATTACTACTAAGCCTGAGGTTGTGGGTTCAATTCCCACCCAGAACGAATAATTGTGTGATGAGCATTGATCATTTGTTCTGTGTCTAGATCTAATGTATCTATAATATGTACCTATTTAGAAATATATATAACTATGTTTATCTATATACTCAAACAGGGGATCAAACAGGCTTGTGTGACATGTGTGAGATTATTTTCATTATTACGTATAAATAAGTAAAATAACTTTTGAAAAAAAACCTGAATATTTAGGTGTATTTTTACGTATATAACAAAATACCTAATATATCTACTTACGACTACGGTTGACTCGCAGAGAAATGTCTTTGGCATAAAGTCGACTTCTGTACTTTACGAGTAATATAATAATAATAATGTTACTAGTGTGTTTAGATTTTTAAATAAATAATAGAAGAAATAAACATTAAAGGAACGGTTTTCTTTTTTTAGAAGTAACGTGACTTTATCAACAGTCCCTAACTTACAGTCCATTGCTGGACCAGGCCTTCTTTAGAAAGGAGGTTTTGGCTTACTATAACAACGCTGGCCAGACGCGTTGGTATGGGGTTTGTGTAAAGTTTTCCTTCTCTTTGCAGTGTTGTTGTCATCACACGCACACTTAGGGAAAGTCTATAAAAAATCGTAGAGTACTAACCTACGTCAAGTCCCTGATCTAAGGCCCACTGTCCTATTGACGGCGTCCAGTTTGGTGGGTGACGTTGCGAATCACAGGAACCCCTGGTTACGTTACCGTCCAGGCCGACCACACCATATTTCGTCTTCACCCCCGTTAGATAAGAAGTTGCAGTACAAGCAGAATCCGCGACTTGTGCATCAATGCAATATGTCTGAAAATAACAAAAATATCATAAAACTTACTATTTTCCATTAATAAAAAAAAATTGATGCTGTGATATATCTGAGTATATCGGCTTTCTAATGGTGAAAGGATTCTTGAAATCGGTCCAGTAGTTTCGGAATTAATCAACTAAAAACAATCAAATGTTCTGTATTTAGTGTCGTGTGGTGACGGAGTTAAGAATACAGAGTGCCGACTAAGGAAGAAAACTACGCAGAACTACAGCACTGCAGAGAGAAGGAAAACTTGACACAAACCCTATACCAACCCGTCTGGCCAGCGTGGTATAGGCCAGAGCTTCCTTTTTAAGAAGAGGCCTATGTCCAGCAGTGGACTTTTAAAGGCTGTTGATGTGATGATGATGTGTGATGTGAGCCTAGAAGGAAAAATTAACTCTTCGTAGTTTCTCTGTGCTTGTCTCTGTCTAAGTTAAAATACTTATGTTGGTTTTTTCAAGCTGCATAACTGAGATTCTAAGTCAACGCAATAATCAAGTGTATTTTACACTATGGCTACCTACGTCATTATGAAATCACGAAGCCATATTCTGTACTGTGATGTGGCGAATAACGTAATAACAATGCGCAATTATATTAAAGGATGACCATTAAAAAAATCGTGAATTGAAAATTAAAAAGCTAAAATTAATCTGCAATGCTCTCATATTGCTAGAGTTATTATGCATTTAATAAAAAGGGTACTTCACATTGACTGAAAGTCATGACATTTAGTTTGAAGTAAGGTCTCACAGCATAAGTAAAAACTACCGAAAATCTTTAATTGTTTGTTATACGAGTAAAACGCCGTTTTTTGTGATTACATATTTTTTGCTCTTGGAAAATTGACTGACTATCGTTTTTTTTTCACTTCAATCTCCTTTGAGATGAACAATCTGTTGGCATACAAATTTTTAATCATACTTCGGGCCACGGGTCAGATCCGTACTTGTCTGGTATTTCACAATACATAATAGTCTTGTTTATTCAACCAAAATCCCCATAATAAATAAATGACCAATCTACGACCATCGTTTTCCTTCAGGCCCTAGGATCCCGGCCTCTTGGGTCTTCACCTTAATGAGGAAAAAATGTAAATATATGTATAGTTCAGTTTCAAGATAAATTCTACTAAATAAACAGATAAATTCTAAGACCTTGAGTGACAAAGCTACGCTGTTTGCGTGCTAATGCGCTGGTTACCGTGAAGATAATACACGACATTTCCTTCCTTTCATTGTCGAAGAAATTAGCATGTCAATTGATTTCCAAGCTTGTTAAATTAAAAAACTACTGTCTGGTTCACTGCCATTATCATCATAATGAAAATTTTACTCAGAGGACATGGCAGAGGTCTCTCAAAAGGCAGAAATATTGCGAAAACGGAGCACATTTAATGTTCCTCGTTTCCGCAACATTTTTAATTAATGCACGGCTCCTATTGGTGGTAGTGTGATGTAATAATATAGCCCTTCTCTATAAGCGGGCTATCCAACACTAAAATCAGTTTTCAGTTCGAATCAGTAGTGTCTGAAATTAGCATGTACAACCAAAAAAAAACTCATCAGCTTTACAATATTCGTATCCATACTAATACTAAGATATACTAAAACCACAGAGATTATTCGAGTCCCAAGAAAGGACATAGGGTAGTTTTTATTTCATGAAAAGGGGAGTGGAAGTTTGTAATGGGAATCATTAACCGCTAAACCGATTTAGATAAAATTTGGTATAAAGATACTTTGAGGACAGACATAGGCTACTTTTTTACCGCGGTTACCGACATTTCCGCGAGCGGAGCGGCAAAGGCTAAGGCTAGTAAAATTAATTTGTAAAAAAGTATTATCAACCTTGATTCGCTTATATCATGCGGAATTATAATAAACTGTAATAAACCCCCTCCGTGTGAAGACGGATTAAGAATACAGAGTGTCACCACCCCCATCCATCCCATGGGTGTCATAAGAGCCGACTAAGGGAAAAAACTACGCATAACAACAGCACTGCAGAGAGAAGGAAAACTTGACACAAACCCTAACCAACCAGTCTGGGCAGCGTGGTACAGTAGGCCAAAAGCTCGTCTCTAAGGAGAGGCTTATGTTCAGCAGTGGACTGTTAAAGGCTGTTGATGATGATGATGACGTAATAAACCCCTAAGGGCAAAAAATTTAGGCATGAAGCAGTAAATTTACACCACTAATGGTGTATTTTTTTTTAAATTTGAATTTAACCAAACGGAAGGTATAAGTAGCCTTCTAACTAAAAAAATAAATTTCCGAAATCGATCATAAATGACGGAGCTCTAGATGTTATAAAAAATCAACTAAATTGAAAACGGTAGTGGTAGTAGCTCAGTGGTAGAGTGGCACACCGTAAGGTTTTAGTCGGTTCAGTTTCGTTCTCAAACCTCGGTGGGGTGACGGCCCGAGGGTGTTGGGAACCACATTACAACAAAGGTAAATAAAATTTGTTATAACAATAAGCTGTTATAGCTACTGCCACCACACTGCCTTATCTAATTGTATGCAATTTTTCTTTACATCTGGTAAGCAGTGCTTAAAACAATTACCGGATGGTTAGCCTAACAGTTAATGTTTATATTGATTTAAAGTCATTAAGTTCTATAGATTAAGGGTAATATGATTATATGATTTCTGGGATAAAAACTATGTCTTTTGATGTCCTATGTCCTTTCCGGGTCTCAAACTATCTCTATACCAATTGTCATCTAAATCGATTCAGCGGTTTAAGCATGAATAGGTTACAGACAGACAGACAAACTTTCGCATTTATAATATTACTATGGAAGTATGGATAGATTCTAAAGAATGCGTACGCGTTTACAATAAGTCACGTTCAAGGCAAGACGTACGCACAGCGCCGAGGTCGTACTCTGTCACGTAATTTTCTATAGTTCTGTTACATTATTTCAATAGGTCCACTGACGTGTAGAGAGGTTAGTACCTACTTACAGTATCTAACAATTCTTTTGATGGAGTAAGATTTAACTATACAATAGTATTGACGTCAATTAACTTTAGTACCATATACTTTACGGCTATAATCCAATAGGGTTTTGTTACAGATTTGTAAAGAGAAAGAAAAACTTAATTTATTTAAAATATTCTATTCAAAACAAATGGATCGACTCAACAAGAGTAAAACCACGGCCTCGCAGAAAACCGGTGTTAAGTTTCTTTGCTTTTCACCGAGGTGAGGTTACTAGGTACTAGGTAATAATAGAAACGTCAGACGACTGCATGGCGTAGTGGTTGTGAACGCAAGCTGTGACCGAATTGACTCGCAAGATGGAACGCATGAGTACCGAACTATAAAGAGTACAGCGTTCTCATAGCAGAGGACCCAGAGGAGGTAGAAGTCGTTCCCGGTCACGTTCTAGACCCAGAGATCATCCTTACTGCTTCTATCACTACCGGTTTGGAGATCGAGCTCGCAAGTGCACACAACCTTGTACCTACAAAACAACAAAGTCGGTAAACTACCAAGGCAGCCATTAACGGCGGGACAAGACTGCCTAGCAATATCAAGCCGCCTGTTTATTACGGATCTCAAGACAAAAATACAATATCTTATAGATACGGGTTCGGACCTGTGCGTATTTCCGAGATCCGCTGTTCGGGAGCGTCGTACTACAACAGAGTACAAACTATTTGTAGCCAATGGGAAAATAATAAACACATACGGTTTCATCTCTCTCATTCTGGACCTAGGACTTCGTCGCGCATTTTCTTGGCGATTCATCGTAGCTGACGTCACAAAGCCAGTTATCGGTGTCGACTTTTTAGTTTACTACAATCTATTAGTCGACTGCCGAAACCAGCGTTTAATAGACAATCTCACTACGCTAATGGTCCGTTTGCGAACTGTTTCATATAAAACGATTAATTATATTTCTGCATGAGAACAATGATTCAGAAAAATTAAGGATTAAACAAAACGTCACAAATTCATCTAAATAATACTATTACATTTAAGACAATAATTTAAGTGTTTTAAAACGGAACTAATGAATTAAATCAAATAGAAAAATAATATCAAAGTGTTATGCGGTTAGTTTTATGAACAAAATTGTTTTCACATAATTGCGGAACGTAACGCATTTAAACTTTAAATACCAAGTTATACGTTGCGGCTCTAGTGACAATTAATACGTCTTAATTTAAAATAGAGATTTAATAAATAACTAGGTACTTATATGATACAGATTGACGTAGTTTGTAATAAAGAACCATCGTAAAAGTGACCATGGATGAGGGATCACATAATAGAACCTGCAACGATTGAGGAAGGTTATTGAAAAATAAATTAAGTTAAAATCGACTACCTAGATTTGTTTGCATAGTTAGTTTCAAGTGAAGGAAAAATAAAAAATGTGTTAAAAGTAAACACCGCTAAGTAATATAATTCTAAATAGAAATATCGTGACAAGACTCTGTAATTGTTTTAAATAATTTATCTGTAATAGGTTACTTAACATAAACTACCTGTTGATATAATTACTCTCAGATAAGTGCTGTTTAGCACCTTGAGGAAAATATAACATAATCTTGTTTTAGATACTAACCACAGAAAATAATTAAAGGAAACTTGATTCTAAGATAACTTATTATGGTGTTATAGTTATTAGTATTAGTACGTAGTAGTATATTATTAGCCTAGTTGTATAGTATTAATTACTAGTTCGTTCGCTTGGAATTTGAAAAGCGCTGCCTTAGTGGGTTCGATTCCCGGACCGGGAAAAACTTTAAAGAGTTTTTCTGAGAGGAATAATAGCCTAAATTGATCCTTATATAGACAGCTATCAGGTAGTAATATATTTTTAAAATCGGTAAAGCGGTTTCGAAGATTACCCGGAACAAATAGATAGACAGACAAACAAAAAAAAATGGCTTTTAGGCATAGGTATCCTGCAAATAATTGTGTGAGCATGAAAAAACTTATTATTTTGACATTACACACAGACACTTCCATT